ATATATATATATATATATATATATATATATATATATATATATACTATATTTAGAAGCATATTTATAGACTCAACTTCCGACCGCTGCATTGATTCTTTCTTTTTTGAAGAACCAAACCACAGATAACTTTATTAAACTGTCACCAAACAAAAAACTTAAAAGATGCTGACAGAGGGACTCCTGGGAATATTTAGTTTTATTAATCAGGTTAAATGTTTTTATTTATTCATATTAAAAACTATTTGAACCTAAATGTTTTACAATCATGGCAAAACACAAGTACAGATAAAAATGAAGTGCAGAGATAAATCTACGCAAAAGAAAGAAACACAATAAAAGACACAAAAGATAATGTAAGAAGAAGTAAATAAATGATGAAGTTTAAATGAATCATAAGACAAAATCTAAAAACTATTTCCTTTATTAAATTTTGTTCATTTTTGCTGTGGATGTGAATTTTCAGACTTTTGAAATGTTCTCGTGACTCGTGTTAAAGTTTACGAGTGATTTTATTGAATTTGATATTTTTAAATTTTCAAAAATAAAAAACATTCAGCTGATCACGACCTCTCTGTCCTCGAGGTAGAGCAGCAGCAGCAGCAGCAGCAGCGTTCACGTTGCAGGTTTCTGTGCCACCGCTCACATGCACTGGGCCCAGCGGGAGGCTCCTCGCCTGCCATGCTGCTGCTGCTGCTGCCCTGGTTTGAATTTCTGAATATAAGCGACTGGCTTCCCATACTGACAGCTGATGATGTCATGGAAACTCTTCTGAGCCGCGCACTTAAAAACTGGAGAATGATTTATAATGAAACGCAGCCCCTCAGTTTTTAAGAGTGGGGGGGGGGGAGGTTGGGCGCAGGACTCGGGGCACAACTGGGGAGTTTTTACGTTCATTAAACTTTTGACATGTAAGCTTCATAGAAACCGAACGCTGCCGTTACATCCTGTCATGTCAGGGAGCAGGAGTTGTTTTATGTTGTCATGCCTGCAGACATGAGGGGCCTTAATGCATCTCTCACCTCCGGAGCCCAACAGCCTCCAACTATCATTCAACAGAACCTCGCTTCATCCTGTTCCAGCAGACGAAAGGCCTCTGCAGCGTAAGAGCCGGCCACTCAGGCCGTGACGTGACCGTCAAGTGGATATTTCTGCTCCTGTTAAGAGGAAAATAAGTCTTACATAAGACAAAAAAATCCCTCTGTCCTCTTTAATCTCCTCGGGCAGCTAATAGATCAGAGATGCCAAACATCCAAACAACAGAGGGAGGCTTTGTGAAGAGAGGAGCAGCCAGCGGAGAGCGAGAGGGGAGGAAGAGCAGCTCTTATTTGGGTAAAAGGGAGGAGAGAGGGCCGTACGGGTGGTGGTGGTGGGGCAGGGTACACCTGCACGATCACAGCTTCTTGGGAAATGGGGAGAAAACAGGATCTTCAACTCAAACAACATCCTGTCACCCCCCCCCCCCTCCCGTCCCAGAGTGTTTATACTGTTGTTCCTGCTCGTCTGCGTAGAAAGTGGGAAAGAGATGAATCAGTGAGACTGGGCCTTCTGGACGGGGGGAGGAAGAGGGTGAGGAGGTCGAGGGGTTCCTTCCTTCTCTCTTGCCGTAGCTCATTAGTCCTCTCCTCCAGATTTCCCCACTCATTCATCCTTTTTATTCAAATGTCCGCTCTTCTGAACGTGACTGAGGCTGGTGTCATCCTCTGTGAAACTGATGGGAAGTTTTGAAAGAGAGGGAATTCCACGACGCTAAAAATAAATGGAATACTGTTTTGGAATCACATACAGCGGCTCACAGACTTCCTGATGCTGATTCCTCTCATCCTTTATGAGCTATTTCTGTGCGTGTGAGTGAGGGAAGAAAAGGTAAAAACTATGAGTGGACACACAAAGGAAACTTTAAAAAAAAGCTCATTCAATAACAAGGATCCTGACGAATCGCAGAGCTGCAGGAAGGCAGTTGTGTTTTTTCCAATACAAGCAATTAAACATTACAAAATACTGAAAGTACAACAAAAATAACCAACAATGACAAGAGGAGGAATATTTAATTCTCTAAATTAAATTAAATAATGAGTCAAACTTGAATGGAAATTCCATATATTTGTCATTAGAGACTTGGCTTCTCCATCGAAACTGTCCCTGACCTAACATCCGTTCAATAGTTTTACAGTAAATCCTGCACCTGGAAATCAGGAAAACAAATATGAATCAGACCAAAAAGAAAAAATAGAAAACCCTCCCATACCCATTCATACAGTCCTGAGATCCTTAAAGTCTGTCAGTGTAAGCACCTGGTGGCGATAGAGACTCATTAAGCTTTGATTTTTAACTGGCAATAGAAACACAACCCAAGTTTGACAACACACAACTTATTTGTCCCTGGGGAGACGCAGCTTGCATAAGACAGAGCTGCTATGCTGAGCTTTGACCACACACACTCAGAGCGAGCGAGCGAGCGTCTGGTGACCACAGAGGAAGTGACTACCAGAGAGGAAGTGGACATGTCCGCAGCCAAGGGGAAGAAGAAGTGTTAAAGTTATTAGCTGAGTGGGAGCGGGGCGTTGAGGGGGCATCCTGTGCACAACAAATGCTTCCTGCTCCTTCGTCCCAACGCCACAAAACAACCACAGAGGGGGGTGGAGAGAGCGGAGCGAGGCACGGAGGGAAACCTGCCATCAACCAAATACAGGTGGAAACTATACGGTGCCCGCAGGAAAATACAGTTACTCCCCTGCAGCCTGTCCCTCTCTGTCTATGTGAGCTCCTATAGAGGTCCTCACACTCCACTATGGAAAATTGATGTTTTTCATTTGAGCACATTCCTGCACACGACGGGCCCCTCCTGAAAAACAGCTCATTACACCCCAGAGAACATTAGTCCACATTATGAGAAGAATCATGAACATGCAGCCACTGTTGGGGAGTAACTAGTTACATGTTACCACAAAAGATGTAATCCATCACGTTAACTGAGTCATTATACGTATGTAGGTTTGGGCATATTTGCAGTAAAGCAAAGATGTCGGGACACATTTGAGCGTCAAGGATGTGAAGCAGTCCCTGTTCATTGGGAAGTATAGACTCAATGTTTGGGCACC